TGTAGACAAGAAGTTCTGGGAAGAACTAATCACTTTCCTTTCACTGTAATTTGAATATCTGATGCAACAAGTAAGAAGAAAAATTTCGTTGTACCTCGTATGTGTCAAGAAGTCAGTAAAATAATGCAGTTTGTGAGGATGTAATGTTGGTATTACAGATGGGCACATTTATGAAGTACGCCGTTGAGGTGCATTCAGGTGCCATGACATACGTATCAGGTTCTATAAAGATGATTCAGTTATTCAGAAGTCGTTAGGGGAATACATATACAGACACACAGATAACAAGGTGATCATATAAGCCTCCTTTTATTTTGTCAAAAAAAAAAGAGAGAAAGAATGTTAGAAATGTCACCCGATGATCATTGATCGGAACGTGTTGTGGTTTCAGAGAAATATATTACTAATAACTATTGATATAATTATTGACTGTTTAAACATTATCCATGGTCACGTTTTCTGAAACAACGTTTCGGAGCCTGGATCTGCTTTCTTCCTCAGATCCACACAGTGCACCCCATTGATACAATCCCATTCTCCGGGTTAAGACAGAGCTAGGGACTAGCTCTGTCGGTTGAGCCCAACTGAGACTGAACGTTCTTATAAACAAATAAAAAATACGAGACGGTGTATAATGTACAAATTCCCCCTTAGCACTACAGCCCCAGTGGGCCTAGGCCTACCTCCATCAACTCCGTTCACTTCGGTTTTTCTACATCTTACACATACTGTAGGACTCCTTGGGAGGGTGATCAGCTCGTCGCAAGGCCATTATGTACAAATAGTCAGCATTAATACGTGGTGGATCGGTAAGTTCCGGGACTAGGCCAAAAAAGAATTGCTGACTTAACTTACTCAACTTTGGCTGCCATATCCTTCAAAATAGTCTCCCTGGGAATGTATACAGGGATCCCATCGTTTTTTCCGTGCCTCAAAAGCACCGTGGAACTCATTTTCCTCTATGCTGTCGAGTGCCGCTTGTGATTCCCTCTGGATATCGGATTCAAAACGTCGTCCCTTCAGTTTCATTTTCAATTTTGGAAAGAACGCGAAATCACAGAGGGCTAAGTCTGGCGAGTGGGGAGAATGGGGAACGATAACCATGATGTTGTTAGTCACATACTCTGTGGTTTTCTGGAATATGTGGGCGGGCTTGTGATGAAGGGGCAATGCGGCGCATGTCCAAATTTTCTGTTACAACCATGTGGCAAAATCCATAACTGATCCCAACAGTGTCTGCGAGCTCATGGATTGTTCGGCGGCGGTTTTCGTTGATGAGTTCTCGAATTTCTTCAACATTTTCTATCGTTTTGCTGGTGCTCGGTGTGCGCCATCTTCAAATGACACTCGACCGGCCTTGAAACGTGAATATCATTAAGAAACCGCTGTTCGGCTTAAAGAATGTTCTCCAAAAGCCTCACGAATTTCAGTGGTTTCGGTAGCGGATGTACCGAGCTTCATGCAAAACTTAATGCAGACACGCTGCTCGATTTTGCCATCCATCGCAGACAAATCGAAACACGAAGTCGAAGACGAACTCGTGTAAAGAAAATGTGTTTACAGCGCGGTGTCACGTGGCATACTGATGCAATAGGTTTGCGGAAGTGTGACCTTGGCCTCCCATCCCATCTTCTATCACCGAGGTAGTTACAACAACATTCGGGGAACTTTCCGATACCACCTCGTATACCATTGTCACGAAATTTAAGATCTTATTAACTACTGATATATTATCTATGGATTTCGTGCGGACGGTTGATGAACAATAAAGATGGTTAATATTTTTAGTTTGTTTAAAATTCCTTACACAATGCATATAATGTATAAAGGTTAACTGTAACTACTGAAAGCCGATAACAGTGGCCACGCGGTCCAAGACATGAACTGTCTTTCCCTGACCGAACACTGGAATCGTTGGTTCGAATCCCACTCGAGTCATATATCTGTGTGCGTTTATTCTATCTTGTTCTATGTGTAGGTAGCGGCCTTGCAACGGGCTGATCTCCCGTCCAAGGAGTCCTACCGACTGTGTATAGGATTAAGAAACTGAAATAGCGGCCAAGGTCCAACAAAGGGCTGTAGAGCCATAGATAGATAGATGGTACATACATTAACCACTGTGCTTTAAACTGTTAAGGATGTGCTGAAGTAAAGTTGTCCCTGTCCTCGTATATAGATCCACATGTTCTTGACCTCTGCACTGATTAGAGGTGAGTGGTCAGCTTTACGCTTCGGCTGCTTTACCCCTGGGGAAGGATTCCCCCGTACCCATTGGATAGGAGGCTGGGTGGGCCGCAGAACTTGTCTTGACGACGTGGAGAAAAGAAAAATCTCGTCCCTACTGGGACTCGAACTCCAACCCCTCGGCCGTCGAGCCCGTAGCCAGTAACTGTACCGACTGCGCTGTCTCGGCTGCCGAAGGATGGGCTTCGTCAAGTTTAATTCTCATCATAACGTGAGAAAACATTTTGATGACCCTTTGAGTGTTATGTTTCCTTGTCACATTCTTGTAGTGTTGTCTGTTGGATATTCTTCCAAGAATCATTGATAAACCCAGATAATAACATTGTTCTTGCTATGCTACGCTACCAAAGACAATAATTGCTGGTGCCAGTTGGTACGAATGCCATTATATATGATATATTTGGCAGCGTTCTGCTTTCCTGTTGTGCAGTCTTCGTAGTAGTTATTTCTTTTTTCTTGAAAGCAGACTGCAGTATAGCTTCCACATTGCTGTTCTGAACGATAAAAACCGAGATAATAGCCTTGGCCTCACGTCGCGACATTGGTTGTCTTCCATTTGCCCACATTTATGTCTCGAATTACAAATCCATAAAATGTTTACTGTTTACTTTTTCCTAGAAGACTCGACCTTGATTTATTGTCCCTTCTTTTTGCGTCCTGTTCGTTAGTGTGTATTTCTTTTATGTCTTCGGTTCAACATGGCGTCTATCGCCTTTGTCCTAAAGCTGATTCCTGCTCGTGGTTCTATGTTATTACGAACTGATTACATCTTAAAGGAAATGTTTGTGGCTAATTTACGCCATTTTTCTACGATGTTCTGTGGATATCTCTGAAACATCACAAATATATTACAATGAGATATGAAGTCAACAGATCGTTTCACCGAATTGGTTTTTGTAGTGGTAACGCTGTAGACTTGTATTCTGAGAGTGCTTTGTTCGAATCTCGGCCAGGACACGGACTCTGACTGAAATTTTTCGTGTTTTACTAATCTCCCCAGGCAAATTATTTCTAATATATGAACCATACTACCGCTTACGCTATGTAGTCTAAACATTAAGAGTATCGTAAAATAGAATACCGTAAGCCAAGATAAGGCTGTGGTTTATGGGTTGTGACACCGTACAGTTACACAAGAAAGTTGCGGAGGAACATGCTGTATCTATTTTTCAAGGCTCGGACACGCTGAAGATGAAGGCAAAATGTTTCTCCGAAACGTCGTTAACTACCTACAAGACTATACGGTGTCGTAACCCAGCGGCCCACAATTGGAACACACCGCCATGAGAGTCTGAGCACCTACACGAGAAGATCAAATGATTTTGTTTTACGGCTTACGCTCCTTATTTAAAAAAATAAACTTATGTGATCACTATGCCGTCTGTGTGTCTGCATATCCCCCCTCTTTGAACTTTTGAATACCTGAACCAATTTGTATGAATCTTGTTATGTATATCATGAAACCTGATCCAATCTCAACGGCGTACTTCATAAATCACTCCCATCAGTCTGTATATGTATTCCCATATCGTTGCTGGGTAACGGCTCGATGAAAACGTTACTACGGTAACGAATACACGTAACAATAGAAGAGTTGTTGCACTCGACTTCTTATTTGTGGTCCGTATGGTATTAATGAAAGTAGGTGATCGGTTCTTCCCATAACTTATTGTTATATTATGCGTCCTATCAATGTTGTGATGTTGACTATTGTCACTATTATTAGTGACTAATAACGCGGGTTCTGGTTTGGATGAACGGGTTTATTTACGCCTTATACACACCACCAGTAATTACAAGTAATTATAGCGCTATTGCTATTTCTGCACTTTATAATTCGCTGTTATACGTACACTAGTCGTCTCCTGGTAAAGTAATGAAAACACAGGAACTACGAGTACAATAAGACACAACAGAAATAACACACCACACTCAAACAAAACACAGGACACAAAACTACACAATCAATAAAGGACACATTACATAAAATGAATACAATGCAAATACGATTGACAACTGCAATAACAATTACAATGGGAGAGTTTCATGAAAAGTTATGGGATTTTTTTTTATTTTCCGCCATGTTGATCCATAAGAAAACCCCAATTTGTATGAGGACATAATTATACTTTTCCATGTCTCCCGCAAGCCGTTTCACAGTTATTGTTGAAATTCAGTATGAGAGATTTCTGCTAAAAGTCAACAGGTAGTTCACATTTGCAGCCATTTTGATCCATAATAAATCCTTTTTGACATAATATCATACATGAAATTTTCCTTGTCTTTTACCAACTCCAAAGCAGATCTTGTTAATACTTTTATATCGGACACTTCTACTAATTTGCTTTTAATTTTTTTTCCTATTTTTAAGTAAGCGTACTAAAGGAATTCTATCTTCTGGGAAATAATGTCGTGTTGTCCGTTGAAATTCATCCGAAGTTTCGTAGGAAGATATCGCCTCCATCTTCAGATTAAAGAATAAGCTAAGCAAGAAACCAGCATGAAGAATGTATCAAGCGGATGTAGACACTGATCGGACTACATGGCGATATATCCCGTAAGGTGTAACTCTGCATAACAACCGCTGTGAGAACCTAAAATCCTATAAAGAGTAATAAATTTAAAAACAAAGCCGTTAGTAATTTCGTGTCTCATCACATTATGGAGTACGCCCGTCCGATGCAGTTCCCTTGAAGTAAGACACAAGAACCAAGCGTCATATACTCAATGTTTAATTAGGCACGATTCTGTTGCAGGCAAGATGTACGCTGTTCTGGGGCGTCGTCACGGACGCATCCTTCACGGAGACATCCAAGAAGGAACCAGCACCTTCACCGTCACAGCTGTGCTGCCCGTCGTCGAGAGCTTCGAGTTCGCTCCAGAGATTCGCAAGCAAACCTCTGGGCTGGCTAGTCCGCAGCTCGTCTTCAGTCACTGGGAGGTAAGAAAGGGGCGGTGTCCCTCATATTTTGGTGCACCCTGTTGTGGGATTCGCTACAGATTATACGTATTTCAGCTTATCGCCGTCTAGGTGCAGCGTGCATGTTTCGGCCTAACTGTGGCATCTTCAGGTGTACAGGTGTTGTGGACAAGGATACGGCTGCTCACTGCAACGCGATTTTCCTTTCTATTGCAGTAGCCTCCGGCTACTTTTAGTTGCACGTTATTTTCTGTAATGTGTGATGCACATTTATTGTGTGTGTGTGTGTATATATAAAGCCAATAACTGAAGACATATGAAGTAAGAGTAAATTTGTCTCTGTGCTTAAACTAATTAAGCAATACTCCATGAAGGCGTATGGGGGAGTGGATGTATAGATTCACATTTTCTTGATCTCGGCACTTGTGGGGGGGTGAGTGGTCAGGTTCACGCCTAAGGCGCTTTAGCCCCGGGGAAAGAGCCCACGTACCTGTTGAATAGGAGGTTGGGTGAACCGCAGAGCCGACCTGTACGACTTGGAGAAGAGAAAATTCTTGACCCTATCAGGAGTCGAACTCCGACCCCTCGGTCGTCCAGCCCGTAGCCAGTCGCTACACCTACTACGCTATCCCGGCTCCCGAAGATACATATATACCTGACATAATGCATCACACATTACAGAAAACCATGTGCAACTAAAAATAGCCTGAGGCAACTGCAACAGAAAGAAAACCCGCATTACAGTGAGCAGCAGTAGCCATGTCCAAAACTTCTGCGCACCTGAAAATGGCATATTTAGGCCGAAACGTGTAGTGAGTGAAATAGTTTCAAATAAAGGACCAATCAGCTAATGTTCCTGTCAACAAAACGCTGTTTCCAGCCAGTAGAGTTGCTATCTAGGACATGTTTCGGCACGTGGTGTGCCATCTATGTCCGATTTTTAGTTACAATTATTCTAACGTGTGCATAATGTAGATTTACATGTAAACCGAGTGGATTCACCAGTGTGATATATACGTACTTACACAATCACTGTAGAGTATTTATTGAATGTGTTGCCTCGGGTAGTAGTTGCTGATTCATTCAGTTGCCTCACCTTTAGTGGCTCGAACTTCCTGCATTCTTCACAGTTACTGTCTTGTGTGCACTATATATACTACATACTATAATAAGGGTTTTTTATTTATATATTTTGGAGTTAATTTATTCTTAAGACGGGTCATATTGGAATATAAATTGGAGTTACATACTAACAGTATAAGCGTTTGTTGCTTTGCCTGTGAGAGAGTACGCCTTATATTCATTGGACTGGAAATGAAATGCATCCCTTAGCCGGTGTATATGTTGTACTTATGGGGCGTGAAGGGTTGCAGTCTTCCATGCGCTATAGATTTCGGCCTTACGTGATGGATGGTGCTCAGCTTCACGCTCTGACTCCTGTTCTAGAGGGAAAATGATGTACCCAGTCCTCATGTAGTAGCGAACAGAAATTATGTCCTCCTGAATAAGGAATCCTGGTTGTTTAGTCCATTTATTGAGTTGGATACACCTCACAAACATAGTATCACGTATTGGGGGTGACTATAGAAGGGGTTTGGATTGGTGAATAGATTTATTGACCACTTATACACGCGACTCGGAAGTACATGTAATTACAGTGCCACCGCAAATCTCCACGCTTTGCAAACCACCACAGCAAGCCAAGGTGCCATGTCATATGAAAGGCTTTTTCAATATTCGAGAATACAGCAGCTGTAGCCATGTTATTGTTCAAATTTAAGGTTACATGGTCCGTAAGCGTCGTACTTTGCAGTGTCGTGCTGTGACGGGCACGGAAACCAAAGTGGCTTGCCTTAATTAGACCTTTTTCTTCAACGTGCCTTTGGACTATTTTCAGAATAACTTGCCTGTTGTAGATAAGAGGCTAATCGGACGTAAATTTTGAAGAAATTTTGGGTCCTTACCGGGTTTCGGTAACCTTATAACTTTTGTTTCCTTCCAAGGCTTTGGAAAATATGACAACCGAAAGCAGTGATTAAATAAATGTGTCAGATCTACCAGTTGTCTTCTTGGAAGATGCCTAAGGCAACTATTGTAGAGGCATGTTTACCACGCCGTTGCCTAGAAACGTGGTATACAACACCTTTGTTCATTCGCCTATTGCATAGCAATTCCACGCTACAATAGCATCTCGCCTTTACTCCTCTGCCTTAATGCTTTACACATTTCCAACGCTAGTAGGGTCTATAGATCTTTGAAAGAGGTCAAATGAAGTTAGTTAGTTAGTTAGTTAGGTAGTTAGTTATTGGAGAGGGTGGGTTTCCCCATGCACTTAGACCAGTATTGGTCCATTGTGCTTCCCTCTATGATATTCTACCAGTCTCTATACCCTACCGATATTGGTGCGTACCATCAGTCCCGGAGTAGCCAGCGAGTTCGGCCTCTACTGGTTTGGTAATATCTGTAATGCTTCCCCCATCTATCAGAGGCGTTAGAAACTACTGTTGGGCGGGAAACGTCCTTGAATTTGGTTCAGTGACCTTCTTTGGAGGTATGAGGTTCTTTTACGTGCCGTAAAGCTACGACACGGAACCCACGGCTTAAAGACCCTCCCGGAGGACTTGTTCCCTGAATTTTTCCGCCCTTAAAAATTCCACGACCTCCGCCGGGTTTGAACCCGCGTTCCACGAGTCATGAGGTGGGAACGTTACCTCTAGACTACGGAGGCCGCTTTCAAATGAAGTTGCTTAGGTCCTGGAATACTTTTAAGCACAAATCAAATGTGCGCCTTGGAAACCATAACCTTTCTGATTTATGTCAGTTCGTCTCCAGTATGTTGTCAGAACTGTCAGAGGTGCATTACAATTGTACCCGCGCCCCACAGCATCGAAGAAAATAGCGTAGATGTATACGAGTAGTCTGTTTTCTTAGACGTCCTCGATGTTACAAATGGTATTCTAGTACTTTCTGGGCTCTTGAATGGTTAACACACAAATATTATTCTCTATTCTGGGATATAACACCGTGTAGTCCATTGAAATTCAACCGACGTTTCGGAGAGACATATCACCTCTATCTTCATGGTCGGAGCAAAAACAGCCTTCAGCGGCTCTATTTGCTACCTGCTTCATGCTGGTTTTTGCTGAACCATGAAGATGGACACATTTTCCTCCGAAACATCGGTTAACTCTCGACTGACTACACGGCGGTATATCCCAGAAGAGACAACTCTTCATTGTGATTTCCTTGGGAGACGTACAAATGGTAACGGCTGTTTGGCAGAGTGGTATTAATACAGACTCCACATTCACCGAAGTGATGAACAACCTGTTCTTTTGCTGACAAGTTAGGGGCAGGACTCATAAAGGCAATTTTCTGTAGCACAGATTGGCCGTCCTACAGATCTTGTGACACAGGCGCATGTAGCTACTGTACGAGTAAATTTCTTATCCAAAAATGAAACTAAATTTAGCTTGTGGCTCAGAGCGCCGGACCCGTCGGCGCATGCTCATATTCTCGAATCATAGTCGATTGTTGCTAGAAAGTATGACTCTTACTTAGCAACGTATTCTCGGTCTTATTATTGCAACTTTTTTAATGTTTCTTTGGCGCTTGGCTGTTGCCACACTGTCATATTTTATTCCCTTGTTCTTGTTATTAATACAGCATGTTTCGACCTGACATGGCTGTCCTCAGGTCGTAAGTTGTTTTATCATATCCTCCTCCTTTCGAGGGATGGAACAAATGAATCCAAAGGAAAACTGGGTAAAGTAATATGAGGCTGGAGGAAAAAACTGCATAATGAGGAGCTTCGTAACTTGTACTCGTCTCCAAGTATAATTAGAATGATCAAGTCAAGGAGTATAAGATTGGCAGGACATATAACATGAATGGAGACGAAGCGGGATGCATTTGGGTTTCTGGTAGGAATGCCAGAAGGAAACAGCACTAGGAAGACGTAGAAATAGGTTGGAGGATAATATTAAGATGTATCTTCGAGATACAGGATGAGTGATACGGACTGGACTGATCTGGTTCAGGATAGGGACCAGTGGATAGGACTAGCTTTATTGATTTGGGCTGAGTTAGATTTTAACTGAAGTTGGAGTCCAGTCTCCGAAACTGTGTTATTAATTTAAAAATAGGAAGATGGATAATAGTAAAACTATTAAATAATTGTGTGCATATAATATTTGGCATACGGTAGCGTAGATGGTTGAGGCATATGCCACAAGCCGGAAGGTCGTGGGTTCAAGTCACGATTAGGTCATTGGATTTTTTTCAATTGACCTAATCCTTCCGGCCGCACTATGGCCCTGGGGTCGACTCAGCCTCTAACAGAAATTAATGCCAGGAATTAATTAAATACTTTTCATGGTGAGTAAAGCGCGGCCGGCGCGTAAAGCTGACAACCTTACCGCCATCTTTGAGGCGACTGTCTAGATAATGTGAGACCCTCGACGTCTCACAACCCTATGGGCCTTCACGGCCTCTTACAGGGATAGCTTTACTTCTTACTTATAATATTTGGCACCGAGTTTAAATTATGAAGCCTCTTAATATATAATATCATCCGTCTTCTTGTTAGTCCCTCCACATTCTTAAGGGGCACGCGGTAGAGCAGTTGGTTGAGGCACTATGCTACAAGCCGGAAGGTCGCGGGGTTCGATTCCCGATGAAGTCATTGTAGTTTTCAATTGACATAATCCTTCCATCCGAACTATGGCCCTGTGATCTACTCAGCCTCTAACAGAAATGAGTATCAAAAATCTTCCTGGGGGTAAAGGCCGGCCGGCGCGTAAGGCTGACAACCCCACCGCCATCCGTGAGCCGATTGTCTAGAAAATGAGGGAGCCTCGACGTCTGAAACCCAGTGAACCTCCACAGTGATAGCTTTACCCCGTTCTTAAACACCCTCAGTCTATAATTATTATTTTGCTGGACATTATCCATCATCTTGTCTATTCTAAAAAACAGTCTGTTTTTTAGAATAGACAAGATGATGGATAATGTCCAGCAAA